GAGTCCTTTGAAACTTATCAGTCTCCTATTAGTTAACATCTAAATTTAGGCTCTATTTAGTAATAGTAATTCAAAAAAAGTATATTCTCATACACCTGGGGTTGGCAAACTTTCTTAAAGGGCCAAATAGTCAATATTGTAGGCTTTACTAATGTTGAGATAACTCTGTTGCAGCTGCTTAACTCTGCCATTAGAACAAAAGCAGCCGTACATAATACATAAGTAAATGAGCGTGAGTGACTATATTCCAGTGAAAGTTTATCTACAATAATAGGCAGCAGCTAGAGCTGGCCCTTGGACCATGGTTGGCTCTACTTGTTTAGTGAATCAGTAATGATAACCCTTCTTTCATTCCTGATGTTGTCCATTTGTGACTTCTCTTTTTTTTCTGTTATCAGTCACACTAGAGCTTTACCAGTTTTATTGACTTTTTAGACAATTAGATTTGTGTTTCGTTGGTTTTTCTCTATTGTTTTTTGTTTGTTTTCTGTTTCATTGGTTACTCTTTATCTTTTTCTTTCTCTGCTTATTTTGGATATAATTTACTCTTTTTTTTTTCCCCCTGTCTTTTATGATGAAAGCATAAGATCATTATTTTTCTCCCTGTTAAAGTTTGGCCTTTACTTTTCCAGATCTTTTTGAATGCATTTATCTACAAACAAAAAAGCTTCATTCTGAAGAATATAAATAAGACCATAACATATAGGTTTTCTGCAGCTTGCTAAAGGTATCATGGGTATATTTCTTCAGCTATATATGGAACTCGACCTCATTCTTTTCACTTTCTGTATAGTATTCTGCAGTAACTATTTCTATATTAGGTTCTTCAAATATTTCACTAGTACAAACTACACTGAAATCCTCACAAGTGGGAAATTCTCCAGGATAGAAGTAAACAGAATGTTTTTGTTAGATGTATAATTTATTGAATGTCTTGTCTTAATGCTCAGAAGGAATAAACTACTTCTATGTGATTTACCACATTAACTGCATTTCATGATTCTTTCTTTGTTACAAATTTTCCTATGTTGTTTAAGGGCTGAACTTTGGGGGAAAGTCTTTCTACATTAATTTTGTTTATAATTTTGTTTCTCTGGTATTGGTTCTCTGATGTCCAATAAGAATTGAACTCTTCCAATGGAATTTCCCACAGTCATTACATAAGTAGGGTTTATTTTCACTATGAGTCTTCTGATGTCCAGCAAAGGTTGTATACCTGAAAGATTTTCCACATTTACTACAGTGATGGGGTTTCTCTCCTTTATGCATTCTTTGATGATTAATAAGAGTTGAATTCTTCCTAAAGATTTTCCCACACTGATTATAACAGTATGGTTTCTCTTCAGTATGGATTTTCTTATGTTCCAACAGAGTTAAGTTATCCCTGAAAACTTTCCCACTTTCATTACATATAAAAGGTCTTTCTCCACAATGTATTCTGTCATGATGAGTAAGGGCTACCTTCTCAGCATAGACTTTCTCACAGTCTTTACATTAGTAAGGGTTTCTGACTGGTCTGAATTCTCTGTTGACTTAAAAGAATAGAGTTCTTTCTGAAAGCTTTTCCACATTGATTGCATTTATAGGGTTTCTCTCTATAATGAATTCCCTATTGATTAATAATTGTTGAGTGCTTCTTTAAGAATTTCCCACATTCTGTACATCTGTAAGGTTGTTTTCTTATGTGAATTTTATGATGATTAAAAGGAATGAACTGCTCATAATGTCTATCACACATTCTTTATGTTTATGAGATTTTTTTGTGAGTATAATATCTCTGGTGTTTAATAAAGGAGAATTTATATTTGAAGACTTTGCTACATTATAGTACTCTTTCTCTGTGGAACTTCTGTACTTCTACTTCAAACTTATATTGATTGTGACACTTTTGTTTGCCCTTTCAGAGCAGACCCTTCAGAAGTATTTATTTTGCTTTAGGTCTGACATCTTTGTTCCAAACCAGTGCTCTTGGACTGCACAGGTACCTGGTGGAGCTTCTCATACTTTCATCCAGGGCTCTACCCCTTGCTCCAGTTGGGCTATTAATTTCAGCTTGAAAGAGAGAGAAGCCCCATAACAACAGATTCCTGTAGTTTTCCAGCATCATATATCCGTGTACATGTTCATCACATAGCATCTGGGTATCTTCATTCAATCTAAGTAAAGGCCACAGTCACATTTGCAGATGTCAGTGATCCCTGGATCTATGCCCTTGGTAGTCTTGGAGCCATCTGGCTTCTGAAGTATTCTTCCAGGCAAGGGGAGAAAGTCATGCTTAGGCTGATAGTTCTGGAGGTTAGAAATCCTAAATCAAGGCGTTGGCTCTGTTGCTTCCTTCTGAATCTTTGGGTAGAATCCTCCTTTAACTCTTCTTAGCTTTTGGTGGTCACTGTTAGTCCTTGACTTTTCTTGGCATGCAGCTATATCATTTCCATCTCTTCTTCTATCATCACAATGCATTCTCCCTATGTGTCTTTCTAGATCATTGATTTTAGACTTTTCTTCTTTTCTAAAATAAGCATGTAAAGCTATAAATGGCCCTCTAAACATTGCTTTAACTGTATCCCACACATTTTAGTATGTTGTGTTTTCAGTTTCATTCAGTTCAAAATGCTTTCTAAACTTTCATGGTTTCAACCTACACTTGGTATAAATTAGTACTACACCAAGGGGAACCACTATCCAGATGTCTGGAGCTCTTTCTCTGTGTAACTCCTTTCTGGTAGTTTCTAGCTACCACAGTCCCCGTGAACTCTTGTTTGTCAACTGAGCAAGACCACCATGGTCTGCTTAGGTTCTTCCCTGTCTCACAGTCTGCAGCATGCCTGGTCTGTAAACAGAAAGCCAGAGTGAGCATAGGGCTCACCCTTGTTTATTTCCTTTCTCTCTGGGATCACAGTCCCAGATCACATTGTTAAGTGCCCCAACCAATTGTTTCATATATATTTTTTGTCTAGTCTTCTAGTTTCTCAACGGTAGGAAAGAAAATTCTATGGCAGTTTCTCCTTCAAGGACAGAGGTGGAGGTCACGGTACATTAAAAAAAATACTGGCTTATAGAAAAGTGCAAGTTATTTTCGTTTTTGTGGATCTTTTCACTGTATTAAATATGAGAGACTTTTTGTGAGAGGAATGATGGAAAGTTGATCTAAAGGTAACTGACAGTAGCTATTGATGTAACAATTTACTGATTTCAATAAACTCTGTGCACTCAGCTGTTACTGAGTCATACCATTGGTTATTGTGTGAGAAGGTGGATGAAGAAATGAGCGTTTCTATAGCTCTTAGTAGCATCATTTTTAAAATAGTTTCTATTTATTCATCTTTTCTTAAGGAAGTTTTTTTTTCTGGCTTCTAATTTGCCTTGTCTGATGTTAGGTTGGTGCCCGTATTTCTTTTTTTAAAAGCACAGTGATAAATTGGCTTCCATGGTGTTTGATTCCATAATCCACAAGCCTCCCTATTTTTCTCTTGTCTTTCAGTTGACTAGTATCCACACTTAGTAAGTGTTTCCTTTGAGTCATGATGGCTTTGGTGGATTATCCAGTTGTTGCTTTAGTCAGTCTAACCCTTTTTCAGTTATGTGCACATGCAGATATGACTGTCTTATCTCCTCAGTGGTTTGATTCTATTACATATTTTCTATAAGTAATTCTGCATTTTATGTTAGAACCCCTGGCTGGGACTAGGGTGAAGAAAGAGGTACCTAGGGTATGCAATTTAAGGAGACACTCAGTCTCAAGGTGGGATAAGCCAGCCCTGCACTTACATGACTCTTAAGACTAAGCACTTCCTTAACACTTGGGCCCGGGGCATCTCCCTTGCCTCACCTGGTTCTGGCCCTGTATAATCTTGACTTCTTAGAGGTGGCTCAGAAGGTAAAGAATCTGCCTTTACCAGATTCAAGTAGTGCAGGAGTACTTGAGGAGTACTCCAGTGCAGGAGACCCAAGTTCGATCCCTGTGTTGGGAAGATCCCCTGGAGAAGTGCGTGGCTACCCACCCCAGTATTCTTGCCTGGAGAATCCATGGACAGAGAAGCCTGGTGGGCTACGGTCCATGGGATTGCAGAGTCAGACACGACTGAGTGACTAATACACGCATCACCCTGACCATAGTTGGTTACAGACACCTATATAACTAAGACCTTAAAATGAACTCTGTGTAAAAACTTTAGAACATGCTTTGGGATTTCTCTGGTGGTCCGGTGGCTAAGTCTCTGTGCTCCAAATGCAGGGGGCCCAGGTTCGATCCCTGGCCAGGGAACTAGATCCTACATACTGCAACTAAGACCCGGCACAGCCAAATAAAAATAATTATTAAAAAAAAAATGCTTTAACTTTATCTAAGAAAACAGAAATGAGGTGATATTTCAGGAAAACCAATACCATGCCTGAAAAAATTCAGTGGCTCAAAAGTTTATCCATAAGCAACATTAGCCAGAATTTTGGACCATGTTATCTAGGTTAACCATGGTAGGTCACTGTTGTACTTCTCTTCCTTTATTTCTTATTATGACATAACTTCTCATTAAAAAGTTCATCTAGCAGAATAAAATTTTTGGTAAACTTGACTACTGCTCTGATTAATGCTGTGATGTGCAAAGCCACCTGACTATGACCAACTGCTGATTAGAAAATGTATGAACCTGCAGCCTGCACGAGGTCAAGAGAACTCAGTTTGTGTTGCTGCCAGCTCAGTGGAGGGGGAGTACTCCATTTCTGTTTCATGAACTGGAGTTCTGTGTGAAAGGTCTACATGCAAGGGACTTATTGAGGAGGGGAGCCAGCAATAAGCATGGAGCAGTACTTCTACAAGCTAAAATATGCTGAGCCAAAAAATCTCTCTTTTGTATCTTCTTTTCCACTTAACCAGGCAGCTTTCCCACCCTTTTAAAAACCAGTCTTCAAAATAGCCTCCAATGTTGGTATTCAGGACTCTTTACAGAGCTGGAGTCTCTGCTTTTATTTCATTTTAAAATGTTTCCATTCTTTGTTTTTAGATGCCAAGGAGAGCAGGTGCCAGCGAGTGAAGACACAGTTTGGTTTTGGCCTGAGATCCAGGGGAGAAAATCACCTCCAGCTTCTAGAAGGAACCCCCTCTCTCCAGTCATGTTGGGCTGCCTGCTGCCAGAACTCTGCCTGTCATGCCTTTTGGTGGTTAGAGGGGATGTGCATCCAGGCAGACTGCAGCAGGCCCCAGAGCTGCCAGGCTTTTAGGACAGACTCTTCCAACTCAATGCTGGTGTTTTTCAAAAAATTCCAAATTGAAGATGATTTGGACTTTCTACCTGAAGATGATGTACCACATATTTTGGGGCTAGGTTGGAGCAGGGCATCTTGGAGGAGGCAGAGCCCACCCAGAACTCCATTCAGACCCACTTTATCCAGTGACCAGTGGAGCTTAATCAGGAAGCTTCGGAAGAGAGAGAATCCCAGTGAAGAAGTAGCTGCAGTGACACAGCCTTCTAAAACGAATGAACTTGGTGATCTAAACAGCACTGGCTCTGCAGAGGTAAGCATATCATGAATAAGGAGCGACTAGAAAACTAGTTTAATCTGCTTTTGCATTTGGCACACAAACACACGAGCTTCAAAGCCGTGCTCGTGGGCGGCGCTCACAGGCTGAGGAGTGTGTGTCCACAGCTGCTTGGTGTCGGCTTAGTCGGTGCTGCCCAGGTGTTCATGGGTGATTTGATCTTAGGGATGTGCACTCCATGCAGATCTGACCATTGTTTTGGTTTAAGCAGAAAGCTGCTCATTATCTTGTCTAAGCTGGTTCTTGGCTACAGGTAAGTACGTTTGTGTGGGTGTTAGTCTCCACCAGCAATTCTGCAGCATTTTCTGCCGGATTGCAAAACACTTGATTGATGCGGTTACAGTCAAGTTCTCCTCCTCCTCCCCCATCTCCTGCTGGTAAACACTTTCCTTATGAGATAGTTTCTATTCCATTCTAAAGTAACCATCCTGGTACTGCATAAGACCTGGACCTGCTGGTCTGGGGAGCCGGATGTGGCCATTAGCCAAGAGGCCTCGGGTGAATTCTTACCAAGCTTTGTATGCTAAGGGAGATACTACCAGTAGAGTTTATTCTGCTGATTATGTTTCTTCATTGTTGATCTTCCTGGGCAAACGATTAAGAGGAATGACTCACCCTGTGCTCATTCTCCCTCAATTGCTGTGACTTATTTTTGTCTTTGTTTTGTCCTAGTTGTCTCTACCAAGTTAAAGCCAGAGTGGGGAGGCTACTACATGCCAGACACTGTGTGTGCTAATCATTGTGTTATGTCATTTTGTTTAATTTTCATAGCAATATTTCCAAGTATGTGTTATTAACCCTGTTTTCCTAGTGAGAAAACTGAGGTCCAAATAGGTTAAACAGTTTGATCATGCAGCTAATGAATAGCAGAACCTTTCTGTGCAATTTTAGAGCTACAGTATTAGGTTCAATTTGCTCATAAACATTTATGGACTTTTATTGTCAATGTTAGGTTTCCCTCATAGCTCAGTTGGTAAAGAATCTGCCTGCAATGCAGGAGACCCTGGTTCGATTCCTGGGTTGGGAAGATCCGCTGGGGAAGGGATAGGCCACCCACTCCAGTATTCTTGGGCTTCCTTGGTGGCTCAGCTGGTGAAGAATCCTCCCACAATGCAGGAGACCTGGGTTCAATCCCTGGGTTGGGAAGATCCTCTGGAGAAGGGAAAGGCTACCCATTCCAGTATTCTAGCCTGGAAAATGCCATGGACTGTATAGTCCATGGAATCGCAAAGAGTCGAGACACGACTGAGCAACTTTCACTTAGTGTCAGGTACTTTCCTAAGCACTAGAGGTAAACAAGACATGATCTGTGCTCTCAGGAGTTTATAGTCTAGTGGAAACTCAGGCATGAAGATGGTGTTTACAATACTGTATAATTTTTTTTTTTTAAAGAACCAGCTTTTAAAATTTTATTTTATTTTTTTGACTGTGCTGGGTCTTCATTGTGGCTCATGGACTTTCTCTAGTTGCAGTGAGTGGGGGCTACTCTGTTTTTGTGGTATGGGGGCTTCGCATTACAGTGGCTTCTCTTGTTATGGAAGCATGGGTTCTAGGGCACATTGGCTTAGTAGCTGTGGCCCACAGGCCTCGTTGCCCTGCAGCAGGTGGGATCGTCCCAGACCAGGGATCGAACCTGTGTCCCTGGCATTGGCTGGTGGATTCCTAACCACTGGACCACTCGGGAAGTCCCCCAGTAGTGTATAATTACTGCATTAGTAGATTTATGTATTTGGGTTGGCCAAAAAGTTTGTTTGGGTTTTTCTGTAACATCTTATGGAAAAACCCAAACGAACTTTTGGCTAACCCACTACTACACAATAGGAACACAAAAGAAGAAGTGATACTCTTGAGCAGGCAAGTGATGTGTATGTGCAGGGAAGAGTTTACAGAGGTTTTTAACTTATTTCTTAATGGATGTGTAGAATTTCACTTGGGGTTTAAAAGTTAAAAAAAAAAAAATTTCTAGAGAGAGGTCCAGTGTGTGCAGAGATTTAGTCAGCACATATTTACTGTCTGTAAGGTGTTGTACTAAAAGCAAGGCAGTACAAATATTATATCAAATAAGATCATGATTCCTGCCTTAATAGAGCTTACACTCTGGCAAGGAAAATAGACATGTCATTTATGATAATTAAATACTTATAAGCTCGATGTACATTATAAGAGGGTAAGTAGAGTACTGTAAGAACATCTAACAGGGACCTAATTAAGATTAAGGGGTCAAGTTAGGCCACCCTAAGTAAGGAAAGTTGAAGCTGAGATTGAAGTAGAAGTAGGAGTTAGGGGAAAAAACTGGCAGAATAATTCAGGCAGAAAGAATAACAGTTTCAAAGTGTGTTAGATGCCTTAGAACATGGCAAGATCACAAAGTTGAGAGAGACTGGTCTTGTTTGGCAAACAGAGCAAGAGACCTTTAGAGAAAGAAGAGGCTTCAAAGGTGTTCAGAGCCTCGTTCAGTTGCCAAGTCATGTCCAGCTCTTGCGACCCCATGGACTGCAGCACACCAGGCTTCCCTGTCCTATCCTGTCTCCCAGAGTTTGCTCAGATCTATGTCCGTTGAGTCAGTGATGCTATCTAACCATTTCATCCTCTGCTACCGCTTTTTTGCCTTCAATCTTACCAAGCATGAAAGCCTTTTCAATGAGTTGGCTCATCTCATCAGGTGGTCTGAGTATTGGAGCTTCACAATCAGTCCTTTCAATGAATATTAAGGGTTGATTTCCTTTAGGATTGACTGGTTTCATCTCCTTGCAGTTCAAGAAACTCTCGAGAGTCTTCTCTACCATCATAATTCAAAAACATCAATTCTTTGGTGCTCAGGTTTCTTTATGGTCCAGCTCTCAGATCTGTACATTATTACAGTGAGAACCATAGCTTTGACTGTATGGAACTTTGTTGGCAAAGTGATGTCTCTGCTTTTTAATATGCTGTCTAGGTTTGTCATAGCTTCCCTTCCAAGGAGTAAACGTCTTTCAATTTCATGGCTGCAGTCATTGTCAGCAGTGATTTTTGGAGCCCAAGAAGATAAAGTGAAAGTGAAAGTTGCTCAGTCATGTCTCACTCTTTGTGACCCCATGAACTATAGTCCATGGACTTCTCCGGGCCAGAATACTGGAGTGGGTAGCCTTTCCCTTCTCCAGGGGATCCTCCCAACCCAGAGATCGAACCCAGTTTGTTCATTCTTTACCAACTGAACCACAAGGGAAGCAAGAAAATAAAATCTATCACTGTGTCCACTTTTCCCCTTCTGTTTGACATGAAGTGATGGGACTAGATGCCATGATCTTAGTTTTTTTGAATGTTGAATTTTAAGCCAGCTTTTTCACTCTCTTCTTTCTCCCCCATCAAGAGGCTCTTTAGTTCTTCTTCACTTCCTGCCATTAGAATAGCATCATCTGGGTATCTGAAGTTGTTGGTATTTCTCCTGGCAGTCTTGATTCTAGCTCATGATTCATCCAGCCCAGCATTTTGCATGATGTACTCTGCGTATAAGTTAAATAAGCAGGGTGACAATATACAGCCTTGATGTACTCCTTTACCAATTCTGTACCAGTCCTTTGTTCTAGGGCCAGTTCTAACAGTTGCTTCTTGACCTGCATACTCGTTTTTCAGGAGACAGGTAAGGTGGTCTGGTATTCCCATCTCTTGAAGAATTTTCCACAGTTTGTTGTGATCCACACAGTCAAAGTCTTTAGCGTAGTTGATGAAGCAGAAGTAGCTGTTTTCCTAGAATTTCCCTGCTTTCTCTATGATCCAGCGAACACTGGCAGTTTGAGCTCTGGTTCCTCTGCCGTTTCTGAATCCAGTTTGTACGGCTGGAAGTTCTCGGTTCACATACTGCTGAAGTCTCACTTGAAGGATTTTGAGCATAACCTTAATAGTGTGTGAAATGAATGCAGTTGTTTGGTAGTTTGATCATTCTTTGGCACTGCCCTTCTTTGGGATTGGAAGAGCCAGCCTTCAGGCCTTCTTAAAATATTAGTCTTTATCTTAACAGGGAATGAAATGGTCAGATACCTTACTGTGTGATGAATAGAATGGAGAAGCGCAAGAAGGTCCATGGAACAGTCGAGAAGGAGGCCTTTTGGGCAAGGGAACTATTGTACTAAAGGAAGTTGAAGATACGGGAAAGAGGATAAAGACTATTCTCCCTCAGGGCTGAGGATCTCAAACTTTAACAGAATCACTTGGAGGCCTTGTTAAAAACAGATTGCTGGGTCCTAGCTCCAAAGTTTCTGATTCACTTTGTTTAAAGTAGGGCCTGAGAATTTGCATTTATACAGCTTCCCTGGTGGCTCAGATGGTAAAGAATCCGCCTGCAATATGGGAGACCTGGGTTTGATCCCTAGGTTGGGAAGATCCCCTGGAGGAGGATATGGCAACCCACTCCAGTATTCTTACCTGGAGAGTCCCCATGGACAGAGGAGCCTGGCGGGCTACAGTCCATGGGGTCACAAGAGTCGGACACCACTGAGTGACTAAGCACAAGTCCCTCATGTGCCAATGCTGCTAGTCTGGGAGCCACACTTTGAGAACTGCTGCCTTGTAGGGCTTCCCAGGTGGTGCTAGTCGTAAAGAACCCGCCTGCCAGTGCAGGAGATCTAAGAGACGTGGGTTCGATCCCTGGGTCAGGAAGATCCCCTGGAGGAGGGCATGGCAACCCACTCCAGTATTCTTGCCTGGAGAATCCCATGAACAGAGGAGCCTGGCGGGCTACAGTCCCTGGGGTTGCATAGAGTCGGACCCGACTGAAGCGACTCAGCATAGCACAGCCTCATAGGGCGGGGGGTCAGAATACAGGACACTCGATGAATCTTAAGCAGGAGGAGAGACACTCCTTCATTGTGACAGGAAGGAAGGAATGAGTGGATGTAGATGTGGCTAAGGTAGACTGTTGGTTCGAGGGAAGGAAATTGTGGTAGTTCTAATCTCATTCTTGTTTTTTCCTGAAGTAGAATAAATCATTTATTGACAGT